CCTCTTCGACCTCCACAGGTACTGCATGACAAGGGTGCACTTATATATATGCAGGTATAACATTCATACACATAAAACAAAAATATAATAAAATGTTTTATTCTTACTATTAAAATCTTCTCTACAAGCTGGGCATGGTAGAGCACGCCTTTAATCCCAGCACTTGGGAGGCAGAGGCAGGCAGATCTTTGTGAGTTCAAGGCTATCCTGGTCTACATAGTGAGTTCCAGGATAGCTGGGGCTACAGGGAGACCCTGTCTCAAAAAGACCAAAAAAAAAAAAATCTTCTCTACAATAAAAGCTGATTCTATATCTATATTTATATAATTGAATAGTTAATTTCCAATCAATTCAGCTGTCTCCACTCTGGGCACACCAATATAGGATTTGGAGTTAAGGCTGAGAGGTACAGTTAGGACGGGGAGTAGAGTTGGGACAAAACCCAACTATAATTTCCTCAAGTACCGCTTATCTTCCATTCCATGCTAGTTCTGAACGGATCGCAAATCACTTTTCATTTATCTTGCACGAAAATTTAATGAAATTGCCAGCTCCTTACTTATTTCCTGTATCTAGTTTAATAATACTTGACACATTTACAGTGCACTTTAAGAGATGTGAGATGTGAGAACTCTTCATGAGAACACCGCTCCAATCCTGGCAAGATGGGTTTCATTTCAGGAAAAGGTACACTTATTCTTTTTTAAAGATATTTATTATTTTAGTTTTATGTGTATGAATGTACTGCCTGCATGTATGTAAGTGCACCCGTGTCGTGCAATGCCCACAGAGGTCAGAAGAGGGCACTGGATCCCCTGGAACTGCAGTAAAGGATAGTTGTTGGTTGCCATGTAGGTGCTGGGATTCGAACCCCAGTTCTCTGCAAGAGCAGGTAGCACTTTTAACCACTGAGTCATCTCTCTAGCTCCCACTTATTCTCTTTATAAGTGTCCACATCCATATCTATGTCCTATTTCTCCTATAGTGATATACATATGCATATGTAATATATATATGAGTATCTGAATGTATAATGAAATTTTCCATATGTCACTTGAGTCTCAGTCTATGTCCTTAAGGGAGAAGAAGGGAATATCCCCTGCTGGGGAATGGGCTGTGTTGTCTCGGAATGGTACACACTGGCAAGCAGGTGGTTGGGGGCTGAGATTCACTGAGGGTGTGTAGAACTACAACAGCCTCGACACCATCAGACCCATCACTCCACCTCCAGCACGCTCCCTTCCCCGACCCCCACATTTTCTAATCATCTGTGAACATGTGTTCTCACCTGCGCTGGGAAGTGACTAAGGAAAGGTAAGAGTTGAAATCCAGGGTCGTTGATTTGATAGAATGCAGATCTGATTATATTATGTAATGACGACATCTGTACTTTTAACAAGTCCAGGAGCCAAATCTCTACAGGACCTTTGGCCATAACAGAAGTAGCCAACTAAAAAAAATTACAAATACGTAACAAATTATTAATGTGTTGTTTTTACAAATTGTCACACACTTGACAAATCATGGTACCTCAAAGTGAAGTAAGCTTTTGTATAGTTGTGCAAAGTACTTGGTTTTTGTTTGTTTGTGTATGTATGCATGCTATATGTGTGTGCCCATGTGTATGCGAGCAAATGTGGCCATCCATGTATGGTGGCTTCCATTTTTGTTTTGTTTTCATTTGCGTGTGTGTGTGTGTGTGTGTATGTGTGTGTGCATGTGTATGTGTGTGTGTGTATATGTGTGTGTGTGTGTGTGTGTGTGTGTGTGTGTGTATACAGGTGCCTGTGGAGGCTAGAAGAGGATGTGACTAAAAGGAACTATAGAGCTCATGTAGTCCAAACTCCCATGTTATCCTTGATAAAATGAGTCTCAAAGAAGTTCAATGATGTAATCTAAACTAGCTTGTAATAAAACGGAGGCTACAGAATTACAACCCAAGGTTCTTAACCCTCTTCTCCATCCACCTTATTTTTCATAATTGAATTGTAATCTTCTCAGCCTAAATCTTTAAGGAATCCTCATAGCAAATTCTTTAAAAAATAAATTACCGTGATTTTTTCTCCTTCTCTTGATATGACAGCCATCATGCGATCATAGTCTTTTGGGTGAAATGACACCTCGTTTATGTTGTCAAACACTGCAGGGAGGTGTGGCTGAGAGAAACACAAGGCAGAGCCAAAATGTCATACACGTGGTTGAACACATAAGCTTCTGAGATGCCTTTAAAACCTCATCAGAGCTGGAGAAAGAACTCATTGGATAAGAGCACCTCCTGCTCTTCCAGAGGACCCTGGTTTAGTTCCCCTCAACCATGTCTGGTAGCTCACAACCACCTGTAACTCCAACTCCAAGGGCTCTGAAGCCCTCTTCTGACCTCTGTGGGCACTGCACTCATGTGCATATACCACCCCCCAACACACACACACACACACACACACACACACACACACACAAATAAAAATAGATTTTTTAAAGTGAAAAAGCCTCATATTTTTGTCTCCATAAAGGATAAAAGAATCTACTTCCTCACCTCAAAACTGACAAAGAAATGAAAACTAAACAAAACTACTATGACCCCCGACTAACTTAGAGGCCCACAGCTTGCTTGCTGAGACAGGATCTTCCTGTTGCCTTGGACTCTGCCCCTCTTGCCTCAGCCTCCTGAGTGCAGGGATTAGAGGTGCACACCCCCATATCCAACAGTGGCCCACTTTTTAAAAGCTTATAGACTGTTTTCCACAAGCCCACAAAAGCCACTTCTTAGACTACAGACAGTCTCTACGGCCATCATCTTCAACTCTCCAGTGGAGACTGAACCACACCATCCCAGCCTGCTTTCTCCCAGGCACAGGTCCCTCCCGCCTTCTCTCCAAGGTCTCTCCTTTCACAGCTCTTACGCCTTCTTCCAAGTGCCTCAGCTTCACAACTCCCTAGAGACCAACAAGGATTAAACAGTAACCAGTTCCCAGATGCCCTAAACCAGAACCATCCCCAAGATACGCATTTCTAGACCTTCCCCTCCCCCACCCCATGTCCAGTCCTGTGTAGTACATTTGCTCTTGGCAATGGCTAAGAGGATTTGAAATCATTCTAGAAGGAAACAAGGACAAACCATGACCCTCATCTGTTCTAAGACTATTTAGAGTAAATTTCACATCACGATGGGTTATATTCAGTGAGTACATGCTGCGTACCAGAAACCTTGCTATGAATCTCATGACAGTTCCACAAGGTAGGAACCATCAATGCACCAGTCAAAGGAAAGGAAACTGAGACATGGAAAAATAAAATGCTTGCCAAGGTCACACAGTGCATGAGTAGTGACTGTTGATGGGACCTGAGGCCTTACAAAACAGGACATTTTATCATCATAATTTCTATGTATGGGAGCTGGAGAGATGGCTCAGTGGTTAAGAGCACTGACTACTCTTGCAGAGGACCCAAGTTTGAATTCCAGCACCCACATGAAAGCTAACAACTGTTCCTAACTCCAGTTCCAGGGGATCCAATACCCTTTTCTGACCACCATGGGCATTAGACAACACAGGTGCACTTACACACATGCTGGCAATATGCTCACACACATAAAATAAAAATAATAGGCTGGGTGTGGTGGTGAATGCTTTTAATCCCAGCGCTAAGGCACAGAGGCAGGCGAATCTCTGTGAGTTCAAGGCCAGTCTGGTCTACATATTGAGTTCCATGCCAGATGGAGCTACAGGGAGACCCTGTCTCAAAAAGGTAAAAAGATTAAATAAATAAAAACAAAAATAAATAAAATATTTTTAATTGTATATATGTATGCCAGTATGTGTGTGGAAGTATGTATTGCAGGTGTGTGGAGTATGTACTTGTGTGTGTGGTGCCTCAGGTACCACTGACCTTGTTTTATGACATAGGCTCATTCATCGGCCCGAAATTCACCATGTAGTTTAGGTTGGCTGGCCAGCGAACCCCAGAGACACACATGACCACGCCTCCCATGTGCTGGCGTTACACTGTGCCTGGCTTTTTTTTTTTTTTACCACGGGTTCTGGGAATTAGACTTTGGTCTTCATTGTTACAGAGCAAGCGCCTTGTCCACTGAGTCATCTCCCCAGCCACAACCTCATCAGTGTTGATACTCACCTTTCTTGGCAGCACTATTAAAACGTTAACTTCATTTTCATTCTTGATTACACCTGCTGTAGAATAATAACAATCTGAAATCGCAGGCATTTCAGTCATACCTGTATTGTATGGGAATCGCTGGCTTGTCCTAGAATTTCCAGAAGAACCGGGTCAGAAACGAAGAAGAATCTTGGAAACAACAATCGCTTCTTCTCCAAGTACCTTCAAACAGTGTCAACGGCATTGTTACCAAGTGATTCATTTCTGAATGATTCACTTTTTTAAAAAATATGAGTACTAAAATTTATTTATGCATGTTTATGTGTACAAATGTTTTGGTTGAATGTATATTAGTGCACCTATGCACTAATATATATCTGATGCCCTCTTCTGGCCCACAGATATCACAGAGTTGGAGTTAGAGACAGTTGTCAGTTGCCAAGTGGGTGCTGGGAACTGAACCCGGGTCCTCTACAAGAGCAGTCAGTACTCTTAATTGCTGAGCTATCTCTCCAGCCCTCAAACATAATTTTAGGCTATAAATGATAAATTGTTCTAAACAATTTTAATCATTTTATATATTATTTATTTAACAATTGACTTAAATCTAAAGCATTATAAATAATTGTAATCATTATGGTATAAATAAATGTATTTCAAATTATAGAAAATCTTTTGTAAAACAATATAAAAAGATTATCTTTAAAAGGATTTTTTGTTTTATTTGGGTAGCAAGAGATATTAAAACTGCCCATGTTGTTTCATTTTAATGTTCTAAAGCAGCCGACACTGAAAAGGGACCCTCAGCATTGAATGTTCCTAGGATGCCAAGCTGGTACTGAATCAAATAAAAATCACTTTCTTGGCCAGTGGTCAATATGAATTTGCAATTAAAAATTGCTAATAAGAGAAAAGCAGGCCTCCGTCGGCCTTTCCCTCTGGCCTCGGGGATATTTGGTGAGAACCAAGGGATGGGTAGCACTTGGTAAACAAGGGGGTAGAAGGATACAGGGATAGGAGCAAGCCCACCTGTCATCTGTCATCATCTCTTATCAGGATCCCTCCCATGACCTTTGTCAGACTATTGGGCACCTCGTGGCTTAAACCTGGAGTGAATTCATCATTTACCTCCAACTCAGGATATTTTGAGGCCAACATAGAGGATGCGTACCCATGAAGTCAGAGCATAACCTGGACATATGATTACCTTGTTTCAAATAGAAATTGAGAATGAATTCAATTTTTTTAAAAACTTGAGGCGGGAGAGATGGCTCAGCAGTTAAGAGCACCTTTGACTATTGCAGAGGACCTGGGTTTGCTTTCCAGCACCAACATGGCCACTCACAACTGCCTATAACTCCAGTTCCAGGGACTCTGCAGGCATTGCACTCACATGGTGTGCCTATATACACGCAGGCTAAACACTCACACGCATAAATAAATTTTTTAAAAGAAAAACTTGGGCTGGAGAAATGGTTCAGCAGTTAAGAACACTGGCTGTTCTTGCAGAAGACCCGGGTTTGAGTCCCAGCACCCACATGGCAGATAACAACTGTCCATAACTCCAGTTCCAGGGGATCCAACACCCTCGTCTGTCCTGTGCAGGCACTGTACAACACAGGTGCACTTACACACATGTATGCATAACACTCATACACATGAAATAAAATTTAAAAAAATTTTAAACTTTGTAACAAGAGCTGGGAAGATGGCTTAGTTATTATCTTGCAGAGGACCTGGGTTCAGTTCCCAGCACCTACATGACAACTAACAACCATCCTTTAACTCCAGTTCCAGGGGATCTGATGCCTCTTCTGGTCTACACAGGCATTGCATGAAAAGGTGTACTTACATACATACAGGCAAAATACTGATACACATAAAATAAAAATTGATAAAATTAATTTTTAAAAATCTTTGCAATAAGCTTCTGACTTGTA